CTATGAGACCAGAAGAACTAGATGGTGCCCTACCACTGTCATCCACTTGGAAGGGGATCTATCCTTGATAGAGAGGGAGAACAATGTGGAACAAAACTCAAAATCATTTGGAGAAAAAAAAAAGGAGGGGGGACAAGGTTTGCTGGTCTGATAGAGCCTGGTGGAACCACTGATACTATGGCCCCTAGCTGCCCTTCAGGTCTGGAACCCACACTTGTGGTTTCCCGCCAAACTGAAGACAGGCATACGAGTTGACCATTTACCTGAGGTAGATATACTCCTTGGAGAGAACAATCATTGAGAAAGAAGGGCGGCCTATATGCACAGGGAGACAGCTCAGGGGGCAGGAGTCCATGGAGGGATAGACACTGGGAAGAGGTAACTGTGGGGAGGAAGTGGGAGGGGAGCTGTTGCATTGTGGTAAACTGTGGTCAATGTCATGAGACAAAGTATATGTAAACTGCTGTATGGAAAGTGAATTTGCTATGTAAATCTTCACCCAAATCACAATGAAAAAAAAAAAAGAAAGAAAGAGAGAAAGGTTGTATCATCTGCATACTGCGTATTCATAATAAGTCTTCCTCCAATCTTTATGCCTGGTTCTTCTTCACACAGTCCAGCTTCTTGGTTTATTTGCTAAGCATACAGATTGAATAAGTATGGTGAAAGGATACAACCCAGACACACGCCCTTCTTGATTTTAAGCCAGGCTGTATTTCCTGGTTCTAGTAAAACAATAGCCTCTTGGTCTATGTACAGGTTCCTCATGAGCACAATTAAGTCTTCTGGAATTCCCATTCTTCCCAATGTTATCTATAATTTGTTATGATCCACACATCAAATGCCTTTGCATGGTCAATAAAATACAGGTAAACATCTTTCTGGTATTCTTTGCTTTCAGGTAAGATCATCTGACATCAGCAATGATATCTCTCATTCCATACCCTCTCTTCTGAATCCAATTTGAATTTCTGGAAGTTCTCTGTCAATTTGCTGCTGCAAGCATTTTTTAATTCATCAAAATTTTACTTGTGTGTAATATTAATAATATTATTCGATAATTTTCACATTCTGTTGGAATGGGCACAAATACCAATCTCTCCCAGTCGGCTGGCCAGGTAGCTCTCTTCCAAATTTCTTGGCATGGACAAGTAAGCACCTTCAGAGTTGTATCCATTTGTTGAAACATCTCAAAGGGTATTCTGTCAATTCCTGGAGGCTTGTTTATGCCTATTACTTCATTGCAGCTTGGATTTCTTCCTTGATCATATGCTAATGCCTAAAATGTCTAAATGTTGACCAATTCTTTTTAGTACAATGACTTGTGTATTTCTTTCATCTTCTTTGATGCTTCCTATATTTTACCCATAGAATCCTTCAGTATTGCAATTTGAGTCTTGGGTTTTTCCTTCACTTCTTTTCAGCTTGAGAAATGCCAAGTATCTTCTTCCTTTTTGGTTTCCTAATTCCAGGTCTTTGCACATTTCATTGTAATACTTTACTTTGTCTTCTCCAGCCACCTTTGAAATCTTCTGCTCAGTTCTGTAATATCAACACCTCTTCCTTTCACTTTAACTATTCTCCATTCAAGAGCAAGTTTCAGAGTCTCTTCCAATATTCATTTTGGTCTTTTCTTCCATTCCTGTCCTTTTAATGACCTTTAGCTTTCTTCACGTATGATGGTCTTTATGTAATCCCACAACTCATCTGCTCTGTCATTGGTGTTCAATGAATCAAATCTATTCATCAGATAGTCTCTGAATTCAGTGGGATATACTCAAGGTCATTAATATATCAATTCCTAAAAATATTAAGTGACATTCCAACAAAAACATGGCTAAGTTATGGCAAACTCAGAACCAAAAGCTGTTTTCTCACATCCAAATGTGTATTTTTTTTCCCTATCCCAAGTTCATTTACTAGAATTTTATACTGTAGAATACCCATGGCCTACTGCCTTGTAATAGAATTTAGTGTTAATAAGGTAGCATGAAAATTTTTTGAATTCTTAAGTATAGATTAACTAAGAGATAGAGGACTCAGTGGATAATAGAGGATGGCTGGGATCACCTACACTTGATCCTCAGATGTAGCCAACATTTCTTTAGTACCCTACCACAGATTAGTAGTGAATTAATAATGAACTAAATTGACTTTTATGAATACCTCCACATCTCCCAACCACATAAACATCTTGTTTCTTAATCCTAACAGCTACATATTGTAACAATGACCTCCATTCTACAGGTTATCATGCATGGTATCTAGAAAGCTATGCCATATACCCTGCTAGTCAGAAGAGAAAGACATGGTTTCAATAGCAAAAAAGAAAATATAAGTCATCTATTAAAATCTAGGGCATTTACCTCCAATAATCAGCCTAATACCATTCCTTTGAATAGCCCTAAAAATAGGCAACTTACTACAACTTAAAACAGGACTCCAACACTCTGCCCTCCCATGCTTATGACAGAAGTTGACTAGTGACAGCACTTCTTCTCTGTGAGCTCAAAATCCAAACCAGAATTCTTCTCAACATACTCCTCAAGGTGGCCAGCCACCACCAATAAATTGCAATCACTTCCAACATGAAACCCATATTCTATTTCTGTCATTTCACTCTGAACACACACAATTTTCAGAACGAAATCTCTATAATCCTAAAGCTACTAAACTGTTTCTATTAAACCCAACCTAAGGCTTCTTGTGGATCCTACCTCTTGGGAGAACTCTTTTCCATGCAGCCTCCTCAAATTTGGCCATTCCCTCACATCTCCTTTACAGGGTTAGGAGATAATGTGATATATTTGAAAGAACAATGAGGTGGGAATTAGGAAACATGAACTAAAATCAACTTTCTACCACTAACTCAATATATGAAGTTGGGAAAACTAGTGCCTTGTTATCTTTCAAATTGCAGCTTTTAAATGTCAATTTGTTTGCTTATTTGCTATTTGCAATCTAAGAAAATTTCTCAAAGTAGAGGTGTTCTAAAACTGCTGTGATTGAAAGGAGGCTGTGGAGCCTGAGGAAGCCCACTAGAAGTAGTCATGTTAGGGGACAGTTCCAAGGAGACAACTGGAAAATCCAGTCAACTACAGATTAAGTCTTTGATGTCATCCAGCTATATAATCTGCAAATAATGAAATGAGCAAATCTGCAAATAAATGTGATATATGTTCCTAACAAGATTAGAGTCTTAGAAATAATTTTGTTAAAATAAAATAACAATTATGCTATCAAACTAAAAAAAGAACACTAGCTTTTTCTTGGTCAATCACTTACATAAGCACCCAAAGGGACATCTCAGCACTCAGGAATCACAATAGATGGGGAAAATGAATGGAAAGCATATTGTCTACTTCCTTTATAACAGATAAGCTGATAGTATTGCTCAATGTATGTAGCTCACATTACACTGTCACACAGTAGATTTCAGATAAGAACATATTTTTTTTTTTTTTACAACTTAAAAATTTTTGCCCTGAATGGCATATCTCTTCCCTCATATACTTCACCTCAAGAAGCTCATCCTCTGGCTGTAGGAGACTCAGTGTAGCAACAAGGCCACCTGGAACAATTGAAGAGATGTAATGGTGTCCATCAAAGGAATCCACTTCCACACCAAGCCTCAGAGTGTGAATAGGCAGCAGCTGTAGTAAAACATAGAACAATAACATGAAACATGACAAGAACATCTCTGATTATTAATTCTCCATCAAGTATTATTTTGACATGAAAACCACATCTCTGGAAACAGATCACCAAAGTCCCCAAAGAAGACAAAAACAGGAAAACTAGCCTTAAGTAAAATTACTTTCTCCATCTCCCTCCTCTTTTCCTTTCAGATGCCCTGGGAATGGACAGACACTGCACAAAGTCCTGCCTTCAAACCTAAGCTCCAGCCACTTGAAACTTCCTGTGGTTCCCAAAATGTATTCTGTGCTTCACTTTTCTACAGGGCTTTGCACCCTGCAGAACATCCTAACTCCTCTTTATTATTTAACAAACTTCCATTCCTACTTCAATTCCAAGTTACTGTTACTTCCAGAAAATCCCTCTTGATGTCTGAGGTAATATGCTTTCATTTGGGCTCCCAAAACCCTCTATGTACATCTCTATCATAGCTCACAGCATGCTGTGTTTAAAATTACTGTTTTCTCGATGACCCTTTCCCACTTCCCTGCTTCAGTGCATCATCTGTAGTTTTTATCTTTATAACCTCAGCCACTACCATAGTACCAGGCACTAAGCATGGGCTCATTAAATGTTATTTGAACCAATCCAGGAAAAAATCATACTTCATCAAATACATCCCTTTCCATCTGGCCAACTTAAGTGAGAAAAAATGTTGACTGGGGGAGGGGTGAGCAGATATAGGTGTGTAATAAGGGAGATAATAATTATTCTACTCTATGATTGATTCTGTTGGCTTAGATAGACTTCTATGGGCCAAAATGAGTCAAGAATTGAGAAACACTAGCCAGTGTTAAAGAAGAAAGAGTGTCTCAGTGTTGCTGGCTGTGAAGGTCAAGAGAATCACCAAATTTCATTCCCCTGACTTTCATAGACAGAGCTAATAATTCCTGATGGCTAACTAAATGCAAATACAGTAAATGATGCTGATTATGATTTATATTTTATTTAGGAGCTCTAGTAGCATAGTGGCTAAAGCACTTGACTGCTAACCAGAAGGCTGGCAATTCAAACCCACCAGCCACTCCTCGGAAGGAAGGTTGGGCAATCCTACTTCTGTAGTGATACTGCCTCGGAAACCCAAGGAGGGGTCGCTATGAGTCGGGGCCGACTCGACGGCACTTAACAACAACAACAACATCCTTTTCGTCTAAAAATACAAAGTCCGCCTCTAACTATACTTTATAAGGAGAAAATCCTACACAAGGTAGCAATCTATCCACAATGTGACTATTTGACTTATCTCTTTCATTCTTTCTCCTTGAAGCTTCATCTCTGAACTTGTAGCCTCCCCTCGGTCACCTGGTCTTTATCTCCAGACTTCCACAGGCCTCACTTCAGGTACCATCTGCAGCTCATTTACACTCTCACTACAGACATGCAGATGAATGTGGAGTGGCAAGCAGTCCAGCTGACTAAGACCTCAATGACTTAAAATAGGCATGAGGGACTTCAGACCCTAGGCTAATTTTCTGACAATTAAGAGCTGTCGACCATCAAGCACTTCAGAATCTAAAACCATTTCTGGTAATAAGGTGTTCTAGCACTGTATAAATGGAAGGTTAGGATTGTTTTTACTCCTTTTCCTTCTCTGTGAGTTAGCATATTTTTTCACAAATGACACATCCATCATATATTTTTTTGCCAATCATGCATCACTCTCCCCCATGTATTATTTCATAAGCACCCTATGCCATTTTTTTAATATGATGTCCATTTCAGTTGTCACTAAGAAAAGCATAACTAATGGATTCACTTAAGACAATCCAATAAGGTTTTCCCATTCAACTGTTGAGCTAATACACTGTACTTATTGACTTCAATTAGTAGAAACAAACACACAAAACTGATTGTTTATTCTTCAACTACCAGTGGGATACCAAACTCAATCCCTGATTCCCGGACCACAGTTTACACCTTTATTATACAATTATCAAAAGAAATATCTGGGACTATTTTAGATACATAAGCAAGAGATTAAAGAAAATGAATAGAACAATATAATCTACCTGTAATATGGAAAGATAAGTGAATAAGGCCAAACTCCACTTTAAGAAATGTCACAAAACATACACAGTATATGGAGGGGCATGCTATGCCAGAACTGTTTCACTTGATTTCATCATTCCCATGCCTTATATATATATACATTCTTCATGTTGGCATATTTTTGTGGAAAATACTGTATTTATTTCTTATCACTGCCACATCATTCTCTTGTCTAGTCATCGTACCAACTCACAGTGAAATAAGACATCAGAATCACTTTCCTTAGTAGTACATTTAATGCAGGTGAGTAAAAACTCTCAGTGAAATGTCCCTGTAATAACAATTTACCCACCCATTTCTGTCAAATGTCTTCCTTTGTTTATGAGCCAAACACTATACAGAAGAGAGTTGTTAGTGGATCAACCCATAGATCATCTCTAGCAGTGTATTAGAGCTGACTTGTACTGGGTTGAAAGAGTAGATTGTTCAATTTTCAGGAATTTTGAAAGCCAGTTGTTAAATATAACCACAATTAAAATTTAACTATATAAATTTACAATTACATAAAAAATGTAAGAAACAAAACATAATTAAGTACTCAAAATCCATCACTTCGTTACTACATTTTTTAAATATGTATGTTCTTTAAAGTGATATACATCTGTATGGTAGAAATATTTTCTACCTAAGAATTCAAAATAGAAAAGGGATAGATAACTGAAAGTGATAGATAAAATGGTTGATTTCTTTAGTTGCTAAATGTGGATGAAACAGGTAATTTTACAGGTCTATTCCCAGGGAGATGCCTGCAGCAATGGAACATGAAGTGCTACCCTGTGCTACTTTGAGCATCCTAACTGCATGTTCAGTAGTGTTGTATAACATGAAAATGGTGGGAGTATTTACACCTCAGATACGGGCATATGCTACAAATTGGGACTGTTTTTTGTTTTTGAGAGGAAGCTAGACATTTACCAGCAGACCACTGAACTGTATCAATGATCTAGTTTGGACATAATACCCAACATATATTCATGGGGTGTAAACTATGTGCAAGGACCTCTGGTGGCACAGTGGGTAAGGAATTTGGCTGCTAACCTAAGGTTGGTGGTTCAAACCCACTAGCTGCTCCATGGGAGTAAGAGGAGACAATCTGCTTCTGTAAAGATTTGTAGTCTTAGCTACTCAGTGGGGGTCGTTATGAGTAGGAATCAACTTGATAGCAATGGGTTTGGTTTTCGGTCTCAAACTATGTGCAAGGCATTGAGTTAAGGGCTAGAAATATAGGGTGAATGAAAGAAACCTTCTATGCCCTCATGAAACTAACAAATAGTGTAGAAGACAGACAATAAACCAACAGGAAGGCAAGCAAACACAAGCGAATGAATAATAATGAAGAGAATAATTAATTGTGGTAAGTGCCATAAAGGAACTAATTGGATAATAACATAAGCATAACTGGTACAAGTCATTTTGGAAAGTCAGTAAGTATAAGCTAACCATGGAAGGGAATATTTAAGCTAAGACTTAAAGGATAAAAACAATAAACCCTACAAAGAGCCCATGGAGAGCTTATGGGATATCAGTGAAAAAGATAATTGCTAAATTTTTGGTTTGGGCAAAGGAATGCACGATGGTGGCAATTACTGCATAGAAACTGGCCAAGATAAAATAAAGACATTACTGAACATGTACAGAGAGAGTCCTTATGAAGTAATACACAACCATAAAAGATAAAAAGGTTAGGAAGAAACTGGTTCCACCACTGAGACTATGGCCCCTAGCTGCTCTTCAGGTCTGGAATTGAACCCACACCTGTGGTTTCCAGCCAAACAAAATACAGGCATGTGAGTTAAACATTTACCTCAAGTAGATACACTCCTTGGAGAGAACAATCATGGGAGAAAGAAGGACTGTGTATGCACAGGGAGATAGCTCAGGGGGCAGAAGTGTATGGAGGGATGGACACTAGGAAGAGGTAACTATGGGGAGGAAGTGGGAGGGAAGCTGTTGCATTGTGGTAAACTGTGGTCAATGACATGAGACAAAGTATATGTGAACTGTTGTATGGAAAGTGAATTTGCTCTGTAAATCTTCACCCAAATCACAATTAAAAAAAAAAAAAATCCAACAACAAAAAAAGAAACTGGTTCCATTCACCCTGTTTACTAAACCTGATGTACTCACAGAGATGACCCCCCCACTCTCCACATCAATGGAACAGTTAAAGTCAGGAACATAGTGGAGCACCAAGAAGCAGTAGATGCTCAACCATGGAATCCAAGCCCTCCAGATACAGGGCTCTGCCCTTTTAGGCTATTCCCCTACATATCTGTAAACATGTGTAGGGTTTAGTGGGAAGCTGCTATCTCACTTTTAATGCATGCTGTCATCTGTGGGTGCCATTTGAAGAAAAGGCTTTCATTCCACCAACCCCAGCAGCAGAGACCTCTTGGGACATATGTGTCCCACTAATTGTATAAAAAAATTGTATATTGTCTCACAATTTTTGTTTTTCATATTCATTCAAAATGCCTTCCATTACTGAAAACACATGGTTTCAACAAAAACTTCAAAGCAGAAAATGACTTGGTCTCAAAAGGGTTACATGGTGAACAAAATGCACATGCTTCATCTCCAATCAGGCTGAACAAATAAACAAGAAATGATGTTTACGAAATCTGTCAATCTGAAAGAGGCCTACCTAATATTAGTTCTGAATCTAAATTTGAAACTTCATGTTACATTGCTGCAGGCTTCTCCACAGGAGCAGGACTGTTTAATTACCTGTCCCAGGTGTATTTAGCAACGAAACAAATCAACCATTCATCTGTCTCTTTCAGTTGTCCACCCTTTCTGTATTCTGAGTTCTTAGATCAAGAGCAAAAAGTGCTAAAATGACAGGAGTGGGTGCTGCAGACAGATGACTGATGCCTTCAAACACATTGCATGCTATGCTTTTTGATGT